GGGGGGGGGGTGCATGTGTAGCAGTGATTTTTTAAACAGGCAAGGATAAGAGGGCGGGAAGTAATTTAGAATCATTCTGAATTTGTAAAGAATAAACATGATTTCTGCGGGCCCAGTCGGCCCGGAACACAATATTTTAACAAAACTGGAAAATATACAGATCGTGGACAAACAAAAAAGTCCACATTTACAACCGGTGCCCTTCAAATCTTTGTCTGAGTAAAAAGATATCCTTGTTTTCTCTCTGAAAATGAATAGTCTTGAGTTGTGGTTTCTCTATAATAGTGGCTTTTGAGTTTATGTAGCAGAAATAAAATAAAATATAAAATGATAAAAAAATACCTTCCAAATTGTTGTTATTCAGATAAAGTTAAAAGGGTACTATTGTCAATCAACCATAGCAACCTTGAAATGGAAGTTCACTTGAAATATTAAGGACAGGGCCTATAAATTTACTATCTATCTACCTTAATTTAATGTTTTTTCTTTTTGAAAATTTATACTTTTCCGACCCAAAAAGAGAAAGCTTGGAGCTTATTGTTTCTAAATATAAACTTGTATTTCATTGAAATTTCACCAGTTCACAGTTTTATGTTTTATATTGTCTCCATTTTTTTTCTTTATTTCAAGAGCCTCCGCAATAATCTGAAATGTTTATCATATTTCAAAATTATGTTCTAATAATTTTAACTTCTATATTTAAACTTTTCTTGTCTGTTTGTAATTGTATCCAATAAAAGTCAAAACGGCTGAACCGATCGGGCCCAACATTTTTAAGGCAACTCATATTAACCCAGGGAAGGTTTATGGAACTTCAAAATTGGAAAAAAATGCGCCAATTCGAAAAGAAAATCTGCCAATTTTGAAAATGATTTATAATGGCCGATGTGAACTGTCTCCAATAATCTAAGGGGTTAATCATATTTCAAAGTTGTGTTCTAAAGATATTTGCTTTGATTACACTGGACAATCAAAACATTTTGCTTTGATTACACTGGACAATCAAAACATTTTGCTTTGATTACACTGGACAATCAAAACATTTTGCTTTGATTACACTGGACAATCAAAACATTTTGCTTTGATTACACTGGACAATCAAAACATTTTGCTTTGATTACACTGGACAATCAAAACATTTTGCTTTGATTACACTGGACAATCAAAACATTTTGCTTTGATTACACTGGACAATCAAAACATTTTGNTTTTAACCATTATGAAAATCAACCTGGTTTAGAGCTTCATGATTGAACTACGCGTTGATGTTCCTTGAAACAGTCTTCTGCAACTGGGGGGATTTTTTTATTTGAGTTTCGCGGATTTGCAAGATTTTGATAATTATTTTATTATTCTATATTTTTTATCCGTTTTCCAAATTGGCTAAACGTGATAGTTATTATAGATTATTATAGATTAAGCATTCTCATTTACAATATATACTCCACTAAAGGTTGACATATATTTTGTGCAGTACACACACTAAAGATTTGATAAAAAAGGATGACTAAAATAAACTTACAATTTCAACATTTTTAACAAAAATACCCATATTAAATTATTACTTGCTGGTTGAAAATATTGATTTTATTTTAGTCTACGTGATTTATTTGCAGGATTTCCCCCTACCCCGAGACATGGTCTACTTTTGTCAACCCGACGGTTGCACCTTTACATCACCCAAAAGACCACAGGTAGAATAAAAATAATATCTATTTATAAACCTACTTGTTGAAGGGGAGCGGGAAATAATAAATTTAATTATTAAAATTCACAAATTCAGAAGTCTCTAATACTTGAACCTGGTTCTACAATAATAAATATTTATGGAAAATTAAAGGCTTTAGAAACCATCAAAATGAAATCTCTACCTCTTTATGAAAAAGCTTGGAGTAAGTTTCCTTGTTCACTGGAATATGATAAAAGAATGCATTTGATGTAGATATGAAAAAGAAGGCACACATTTTTACAAAAAATTGGAAATTTTGAATTTTTAACCACAATTTGTATTATATTGAATATAACCTAGAACTTTGCTGGTACGATCTTTGTTTGGCACGTCCATGAACCACATAAACCTCTTCTTGTCCAATGCCGATTTTTTCCAGAACCAAGCTCATGACCTCAGTGTGACGGAGTTCTCCGAAAAAGGCGATAATAACCAAAAGTTTCCGAACAAGCCAATATGGACCTGAGATAGTCTCAGTCTTGTCAAATTCTCCGATTTCTTCTTTGTAAAAATGTGGGTATTCTTTTTCACATCTACATCCAATACTTTGATACTGTTGGAGAGATTTACTATATTTCCCCTTACAAACAGAATTCAGCATGCTATAAGTAGTCCACAATGTTGACGTAGAAAAACCTTTATCTGGTCTCAGAAATCGGAAATAGGTAGAAAACTGTTCTTCAGATGGCATTCTTGTATCAAACTCCAGTGAACAAGGAAAGAAATCTCTAAACTTACTCCAAGCTTTCTCATAAAGAGGTTTTATTTTGATGGTTTCTAAAGCCTTTCATTTTCCAAAAATATTCATTTTTGTAGGGCCAGAGGTATGAACACGTCCAAGTATTAGAGACTTCTGAATTTGCGAATTTTAATAATTAAGTTGCGTATTTTTTGCAAAAGATTTTGTGAGTTTAGTTAAAAGATTCAGGATGAATTAGAAGGTAAGCATTAGAAAAAAGTTTTATTTAATAAAATCAACATCTGGATTAATGTAACAAGTAAAAGCTTTTCTGGATGAAAGCGACAGCATTATAAAAAAAGAGGGAATTTGCTCGAGCAAAGAAATAAAACCACCTATAAGCCTACTAGTTGAAGAGGGGCTAGAAAATAAAATATTTTGGCCATGTGTTTAAATGGTTAAAAACTGATTCACGACAATTTCTTAGTAAAGTTTTCTTTACTTAAAAATGAATGATTTAGGCGAGAGAGACGCAGAGTTTTATATTCACATTGACCGACAAGGACTCTGGAATTACAAGGTATAGAACAAAGATCAAAAACATTACAGATAGAACACCAGATGTCGTCTGTTCAAGATATAGGGGTTCTTCGTTCACAATAACCCTGAGGCAGAAGCCCAAAGGAGTTCCAAACAGGCAGCGTTGAACTATAAGGCANCCAAAAGCTTCAAGTAAGCGGGATTCCTGGACTAGGGGAACAGATAGAAGTACAGACTCTGCATTCTCCAGGTAAAAAAGGAACTGTACAATTTAATTTAATTTATGGCATGTCCGATACCCATCTGTACCTGTTTAACCCTTTGTCTAATCACAAATGACTGAGATATCCTTATTATTCTAAGTGTATATTTAGTGTCTAGAAGCCTCAGCTTAGTGCAACTCAATTTTGAGCTAATAAAACAAGTAGTACTCCGTCTCATGTTTTAATTTGAATTATAAACTAAATTTGGGGAGATTTGGGGCGAAAGTAGATTTCCAATGCAATTTGTTGCAACTTTTAAAAAAAAATTATGATGTCAACACAAAAGATTTTTAGGATTTAATGTCGTCAATCGTTAATTACATTGACTCCATGTTTATCTATGGTTGACCCACCTTTTATTTCGATAATTTCTGTTTTCTTCTATATTCCTTCATTTTTTTGGGGGGGTGGGGGTGTCAGAGTTGTTTGTTTCAATGATCTGATTAAGCTGATGAAAATCCAGTTTTAAGCATCACCAAAAACAATTATTTTTAACCTAAAGTAAATATTTTCAAGCGTAAAAATAAAGTTGTTGTTGTTAATTTACAAACAAGGATCCAGTCTGAATGTTTTTACTTATAATTTCTTAAGACAGAAACATACATGGATTGGACAGTAATAAAAAAACGTCCAAACAACGGAACCGATCGGACCCGGTTTTTTGTGTGTTAATGACCTCTAGGAGGGTTTCTTAAAAGTTACTCCAACAAAATTTACGTTTGTCAAAAAAAAATTGAACATTCACAATGAAATATTTAAAAAAAAAAAAAAATTAGAGGTTAACGTTACAGAATTAGTTAAGAACTAAATTTCTTGCAAGAAAGAGCAGTGAAAAGCACCATGCCATGAAAGCCTGGTATTTTTCAAAACATTTTTTTTCATAAAACCAAACTTAGTTTTGAGAGAAATATAGTTTTCTAGACAATGTATAAGTTTTAAAAAGTTTACTGCAGCCTATCAAGAAATCCAGAGTTTATTATTTAATGATTGGATGTTTTCTACCTAGGGGTTCATATTAAGAAGAAGAAAAACTAAATCATAAATTTTTTATTTGTGTGTTCAGTGACTACCGAAGCCACTCTACAGTTGGACCAAGTGACTCGGATAGGGAAAGGTATAAACACTTTTTAAAAAATTTTGCTTTTAAAAAAACTTTTTTTTTTTCTAGGGACACTCCTAGGGACTTGAGAGACCCTGCAAAGGTGAATGAGCCCCTTGAGCCGGTTTTTGAGCCACGACCTAATCCTGACTCAGACAATGAGACAATCGATCCCAAGAATAGGAGACGACGAGAGTCGGGCAGGTCAGACTTAAGAGTCGGGAGAGTTTAGGGAGTTAAGACTTAAGAGTCGGGAGAGTTCAGGGAGTTAAGATTTAAGAGTTCAGAGAGTTAAAAGAGAAAGGATTAAGGTTAAAAGATTTTAGACATAATATTAATATATATTTCTATTTATTGATATTTCTTTTGGTCTATCTACTTTTGTTTCTATCTATCTATCTTTCTATTTTTCCATCATTATCGAGGGAATTATGATTGTAATTATCGCGGCCATCTTCTATTTCAATTGTGAAAATTTTCTCTTTGTATACATTGTAAAGCAAAAAGAAAAAAGGTTTGCGAATTTAAAAAAAAAATTTCGTGGATGTTCAAAATTTAATGGAAATTTTATTTTGTTGGAGGCAAATTCTGTTCATTATTGTTCTTATTATGAGGTATTCAATCAACTAGGTCACATGAGAATGTCGGAGAAAATGTAGAGGGGGGGGCAGGGGGCTGTATAGATAGAATATCCAATCTCTGGAACAATCTGTATTAATGAATGTCTATTTCATGATAATTAGAAATATATGTACCAATTCTAGATTGAAAAGAAACAATCTGTAACAATATATGTTTCTTTTACTCTCAGAAAATCTAAAAAAAGTGTTTTAAACTTATGTTTTAAAATGTACAAAAAATGTGTTTGTGACACTGAAAAGTCAACTCTGGTTTATCTAACAAATTGATATTTTTTCAGGAAACCGAATTCCAAGACCCAATCCTTGACATCGGTTTGTTTGATCAGCTCCCACCCTTTCTTCTCCTCCTTCAGATCCTGCCTAGCATCATTTAAACGTCTGGTGGATGCTTGTTCAGGACCTAACTCCAGGTAACAAGGGACTTTCAGGGCAGAATTCTGAGAAAAGGATGGTTCTTCTATGTTAAATTTTTGTTTAAAAAGGTTATTTTAATAAAATATGAGTATTTTTAAAAAGGTTAAAAAAGGTTCTTTTAATAAAATACTCATAATAAAACATTTTTTGGACAGCTGGTCTTAAGGAACATGCTTAGCCATTTTTACAGATCAAGAAATCAACAAAATCAACAAGAAACCCATGAATTATGATAATTATTATTTATACAGTAACCCAAGAACATCTCTTAGCAGTAAACATGTTAGTTTGAACTAGTTTTGTTGTAATATCAAATATTGGGGTACTAAATGTTCTTTTAAATAGATGATAAATTCCTTCACTGAATACCATAAAGAATGAATGTATCATTTACCCTAAGAAAAATTAGAATCCTGAGGAATTTATTCATTGAAAATCCTGAGGGATTCCAGGATAATCCGGAGGAATTCCAGGATAATCCGGAGGAATTCCAGGATAATCCGGAGGCATTCCAGGATAATCCGGAGGGATTCCAGGATAATCCGGAGGGATTCCAGGATAATCAAGTAATTCAATGGTAAACCCAAGGGATTCAATGATCTTCCCAAGGAACTATTATTAATCCTTTGTAAGCATTGTTTAGATCCCTTAATCAACATTAATTTCAAAAGTCAAACGCTTTTAAGAAGTCCACAATGGCCACGGGTAAAATTTGAGTCTGGTATGCTTTCTAAAGTTATTCATAACCTCTAAAAACAAGTGGAATATTAAAGGTTTATATGAATGTCGATTTCTAGGAGTAAAGACAGGTCTGGAAGGAAGGGTTCCGACCAAGTGTGGAGGGTTCTAACTGGAGCTGGAAGTGAATCTGTTTCTAGTTTCCTTCTTCATGATATACGGGAGATAGAAACATGGATTCTAAGGTAGAATTATCTTAAAGATATAAACTAAACAAGGACTTAATGATTCTAAATTAATGAAATGGAAAAAATGAGAAAATGAGCAAATAATTTAACTTATTTTATTTTTAAACAGAAGTTAGAACTTTTGTATTGTTAATCTCTGAATCAAGCATTGATCTCTATCTTCTGCAGATCTACCAATTAATTCTACCCTTCGATATCTCACGTTAGTCTTTACCAAGGATGCAATGCAAGGAAAGTTATTTCAGAAGTGTACGCATCTTTTGTACTGGAGTGTACTGTAATATGAACACAAGACGGACGTTACAGCCTAGGAAACTACTATGTGAATTATCAAAATTATCAAATTTAATGCTTTGAACCTCCTCGCATATTAAACGAACACTGATGCATCTATTCTTGTTTACAAATTCCGCCCAGAGAGAACTGGTTTCAATATGAACGCAGAGTATACACGACCGCAATTAACTTTCCTTGCATTACAACCTTGGTATTGACACCCTTCTGGGATAACTTTACTTGAAGTATCAAGCATTGATCGTCAAATTTAAAAGTGTCTACTTACTGTGATTTTAAGCTATCACGCCCTAAAGCAAAAATCAATGAGAATTTTGCCAATTACTTCTTAAAACCCAAAGCTAAGAACAAGTGCTATATATAGTGCTGAATGTACATGTAAAGGGCTACAGAAAAACATAAGTGAGTTAGAGCGGTAAAATCTAGGCGTTGGGACTTTTTAAAGTCGACCCTTACTTAAAAATTGATGAGACTGTTTATAAGCAGGCTGAATGTACATTGGATAGAAATTAAGCGTTTAAGATTACAATATCCATGAAAAGTGATCACATTTTCTATCTTTGTAAAGTCTTGTGTTATCATGCGGTACAATATGTTTTTTGGCCGGGATTTTTACCTTTTTTCGTTTGTTTAAGATTCAAGATTTTTAATCACGAACGTAGTGAGTGATTAAATATATTGAATTTAAACCGAAAACAAACATAAAAAGTAAAAATCACAACAAAAAACATAATTTTCCAAATGATAACACAAGACAGTTGGATATATAAATTTATTCAATTCAAGTTTCATAAAAATGTCCGTTTTTTATTAAAATCCGCCAAATAAAAAGGGAAACCGGCTTTGTGGCCTAAAATGTTACTTATTTGCCTCGGAACAAATAAGAAACTTTTTATACCCATATTCTTTCTTGTTTTGGAGTCTCTTTAGTTTTATTTATTTATAATGATATATGAAAAAAAAAAACCTGGGTCAAAGAACAAAAATAGGATAGGACTTGGATTAAACAAAAATATTTATTTAACACCATAAATTAAGTTATATATAAGTTAATTTATTTTACATCGTGAACATTAAAAAGTATTTTTATAAATCAATATTATTTTACTTAAATTCAGGTTGCTGTCCGCCCCTATACCAATATCTGGAAGGACAAGGTTAGAGATGGAGATGATTGATAGAAGATATGGTCCTCTTCTCATCTTTGCTCTTCCTGACCCTACCAGGTAGATAGATACATAGATAGATAGATATATAGATAGATAGAGAGATAGATAGATAGATAGATAGATAGATAGATAGATAGATAATAGATAGATAGATAGATAGATAGATAGATAGATAAATAGATAGAGAAATAGATACAGTGATAACCAGAAAACTGTAGAATAGGAAGACGACGTTGAAGTGCATTTGATGTTGTTACAAAGTTAAAAGCATTACTAGTAAGTTATTAAATCACTTATCAAGTGAAATGGGTCTTTTAGGCTGCACATTTTCTGTGTTTCATGTACATTGGCCTATTTAAAGCCATAATTTGTGCTTAAAAGTCGACTTTCTATTCCAGAGTTTTCTGGTTATCGCTGTAGAGAGATAGAGAGATAGAGAGATAGAGAGTTAAAGAGATAGCGAGATAGCGAGATAGCGAGATAGAGAGATAGAGAGATAGGGAGATAGAGAGATAGACAGTTAAAGAGATAGAGAGATAGAGAGATATAGAGATAGAGAGATAGAGAGTTAAAGAGATAGCGAGATAGCGAGATAGCGAGATAGAGAGATAGAGAGATAGAGAGATAGAGAGATAGGGAGATAGAGAGATAGACAGTTAAAGAGATAGCGAGAAAGGGAGATAGAGAGATATAGAGACATAGAGATAGAGAGATAGAGACTTAAAGAGAAAGCGAGATAGAGAGATGGAGAGATAGATTTCGTTCGAGCTTTCTTTTCCTAAATCTGAACTCAAAAATAGTTAAACAAATATTCTAGATTTTCTAAATTAATTTTTGATTAGATTTACTCTTTGTGATTTTCCTCTTCATTTACCCCTGGAGTTACTAGGCGTAGAAACCACCCTGCAGGTAGAAATCCTTCATTATTTTTATGTATTTGTTTCCTCAATCTTGTTTTTCAATTTTGTTTCTTCCTCCATTTTGTTCCCTCTAGCTTGTTTCCTCCATTCTGTTTCCTCCATCTTGTCTCCTCCTTCATTTTTTTCCTCCATCTTGTTTCCTCCACCTTGTTTTTCAATTTTGTTTTTTCCTCCATTTTTTCCCCTCTAGCTTGTTTCCCCCTTTTTGTTTCCTCCATCTTGCCTCTTCCTCCATTTTTTTCCATCCATCTTGTTTCCTCCATCTTGTTTCCTCCATCTTGTTTCCTCCATCTTGTTTCTTCCATCTTGTTTTCTCCATCTTGTTTCCTCCATCTTGTTTCCTCCATCTTGTTTTCTCCATCATGTCTCCTCCATCTTGTTTCTTCCATCTTGTTTTCTCCATCTTGTTTCCTTCATCTTGTTTATTCCATCTTGTTTTCTCCATCATGTCTCCTCCATCTTGTTTCCTCCATCTTGTTTTCTCCATCATGTCTCCTCCATCTTGTTTCTTCCATCTTGTTTTCTCCATCTTGTTTCCTCCATCTTGTTTATTCCATCTTGTTTTCTCCATCTTGTTTCCTCCATCTTGTTTTCTAATCATTGTTGTTTCTTCCTATTTCTGACATTTTCAACTAGATTTACTTCTTTAATTCTTCTGTTGAATTAAACTTTAATTTATTCTTTCTTTTCTACTAAATTCTAATTTGATTTTTTTAATGAAAAAGTATGAAAACCCAATAAATAATGAATATTTAGGCTTTAACTCTAATAATGCTTGAGTCTAAGATCCTGGTTGAATCTAGAGATCTCAACGCCTTGTCTTTGTCAGTGCTTTCTCTTACACATCTTCTCTATCCTTTACAGGTCATTTTCTTAATCTTTTATTTGGATTGGTTAAAGGGGATTTTTTGTTCTTAAGTTGTTTTGTTTGCCTGCAGTTTGATTTGATTAAATTTGCTTGGTTTTGTTGGACGCGTTAGAATTTTAGAAGAAGGTTGCAAGGAAAAAATGTGAAATCTCTATCATCTGATATAGTTTGGCGAGAATTGGAAATCCCAGCCGGAAGGCTGATCAAATTCTTTCTCAAGAGATTTATTCAGAACAGGATTGACAAAATTCGATAATTTTTAACCATGTAGTCCTAACTTCCTAGAGACACTGTGATATAAATTTCATTATGATCGGATCATAAATAAGCTTGTGAGAGAAAAACGTGATAAGTGTTTTTTTTTGACACCCTTTAGAATTCTTTTCTCAGTGGATTGATAAATTGATTTGTTGATTGATTTTGATTATTTGACTGTTTGGGTGGTTGATTAGTTGATTGATTGAATAATGATTGTTTACTGTTTAGTACATGTTCCCTGTTATACCGATCTTGCCGACATCTATGATTGGTGCTGAACAGCTTCTGCTTGCCCCAACTCCATACATCATAGGAATATAGCTTGTTCAATACATTACTTCAATACAATGGATTCATGTCCCACTCCGATACAGTGTATTCATGTCCTATTTGGATACAATGTATTCATGTCCCACTTTGATACAATGTATTCATGTTGTACTTGGATACAATGGTTTCATGTTCCACTTGGATACAGTGTATTCATGTTGTACTTGGATACAATGTATTCATGTCCCACTTCGATACAATGTATTCATGTTGTACTTGGATACAATGGATTCATGTTCCACTTGGATACAATATATTCATGTCCTACTTGAATACAATGTATTCATGTTCCACTTGGATACACTGTATTCATGTCCTACTTGGATACAATATATTCATTTCTCACTTGGATACAATGTATTCATGTCCTACTTGGATTCAATGTATTCATGTCCCACTTCGATACAATGTATTCATGTTCCACTTGGACACAATGTATTCATGTCTCACTTGGATACAATTTATTCATGTCCCACTCTGATACAATGTATTCATGTCCCACTTGGATACAATGTATTCATGTCTCCCTACGATACAATGTATTCATGTCCCACTTCGATACAATGTATTTATATCCCACTCCGATACAATGTATTCATGTCCCATTGCCGTTTACAATATCAAGCGGAGAACAAATCCTTATATCTTTGAAAACTGATATCCGTAGACTTGATATTTACAAAGACTAAGAATTCACTGATTTAGAAATATAAAAAAATTGACGTCATCAGGTAGTAAAGATATAGGGATTAGAAAAGTGTCCAGTTTCTTAAAAAATACTGTGTATCCACAGCTCAGTATTTTAAGAAACATTTATGAGCGGCGAGGGAAAGGCTTAGTTGTGTTTCTAATCTCCCCAAACATGGTGATAATATAAACCTTTTGAAATAGATGAACAATCCCTTTATAGATAAATTCATTATCTATAAATGCCTGTTCATGTATTCTCTTTTATGGATGCATTTTCCAGATGATTGCATTTATTTGATAAATAGAGAGAAAGAAAAGCCAGAGGAAAATATTTAAATTAAAGAGACTGAATGTGTAGTTTCAAGATGACAATGCCCGATTTACATTGGTACCCTTTAGTACCTTTGAATATTTAAGTTTAAATTATATACCATATTTTTCTTTTAATTGTTAATTTTCATTTGTGGTATCTTTGCAAAAGTGACTTGCCTATTTCTTACTCAAAGAAACAATAGAGAAATTATCAGAGATAAAACTTTGCTAGTCAGTTAAACAAAGTTTCTTCCATATTTTTGATCATATGAAGGTTTCTAGACTAACGGTGTAAATCGAGCATTGCTATCCTTGAACGAAGGGTCACGTGAAATAATGCTTATAGTCCCTTTAAACTTGTAGGTTTCTATCTAGAGACTGCAGGTCAAAGCTCAGCTTTTTCTTTTTCTTATTTCTTTTTATTCCTTAAAAAATTCGATAGTATATATATATATATATCGAAATTCCGAAGTTAATGTTAACTCTGTCTAAATTTTCTCTTAAGAAACGATTATTATGACGATTAGACTTGCTGGGGGGGGGGGGGGAGAGGGGGGATTGAGATGGCATAATAGAGATGAAAATAGCTAAGGTTCACTAAAACTTAATTCTTCTTGAAATTTTTAAGAATTAGTATAGTTTTGTTCAAATTGAACTTAATGTTTTTACCAAAACTATATAAGTTGAAATAAATATTTTTTATCTCTAAGTAAAATTGTAAAGATTCTGACTATATCATGCAACAGGCCTTCCGTCATCCTTCCTGCCTTCAAAGAAAAATTTTAGGTGAGTCGACAAAATAAACTTTTTTTCTAAAGATTTCTTCAAAGTTGTTTTTGCAGCTCATTTCCCTCTCCTTCAGGATATAAAGTGAAACCTACAAACTTTAAGAACTTTATTTAAGCAATGTGTATTTCATGTTGTTAAAAAACATTAGGTACCATCATTAGCCGGAAAATCAACCTACTACGTCATACGTGAAATGGGTCTGTGAACAATGCACAAGGGAGGGATTGGATTTGTATTTAAGAAACAGCTATGTTGAAAACATATTCTCCTTTAAGCTAGAGAAACTGAACACTTGCCACAAGCTATAATTTTCAAAATCTTTGCAGCCTGATGGTTTAAAATTAAACCATTTAATCTAAGGTTAGAATGAGAACAGAAAATTAGAGTCTGTGGCGAGTGCCCGGTCCCTAATTCGACATCAGACATGAGACAAAAGACAAACTTAAATTTTTTTGTTGAGTTAAATTTTTTTATTTTCTCCAGTGTTCCTGATGACGTATGGCGGGTAAACCTAGATTCTGGGAAGATTACTCCTCCTCCTTCTCAAACCTTGGAGGATATCCCTCCCCTACCAGAACCTGAAGGGAAAACCCTTAGAAGCCATTTAAGACAGGTAGTTTGATAGGCAAATATGACAGGTAGTTTGATAGGCAAATAGACAGGTAGTTTGATAGGCAAATAGACAGATAGTCTGATAGGCAAATAGACAGGTAGTTTGATAGGCAAATAGACAGGTAGTTTGATAGGCAAATAGACAGGTAGTTTGATAGGCAAATAGACAGGTAGTTTGATAGGCAAATATACAGGTAGTTTGATAGGCAAATAGGAGCTTAATCCGGTTCCAGGAAAGTTTGCACTTTCGACCCCAATTTTAATTACTTTTCACCATTATTTAGATTTATTTTTGGTTGCTAACACGATAAATGTTATATTATTTCGATTTCAATTTTCAATAATTTTAAACAAAATAAACACTATCAAATAGATATTTTTCTGTTTGCTGTTCAACTGTGTCTTTGAATTATTAATACATAAAGACGACTAATCTTGAAATGGTTCAGGCTTTAGCAAGTTTATCCATCCAACCAATCAGCAATTTGGATCTCATGCACCCAGATAAGGTAAATAAAAGTTACACCCCCACCCACACTACTTTTTCAACCTTTTGGAATTAAGTCCATTAAATTGAAAGATTACGGCAAAAAGTTCAGTTTAGGGGAAAAATGTCAAATTCCAAACATTGGCTTATAATAGATAAAAAACAATTTTCCTTAATTGTCTACCACCATTTTTACGTCAGTTTTTGACATTTTGATTTTGGCGGCAGAAATTTTGTTTGTTATAGGTCGTGGCAATTTTGTTTTATGTGGGAGACTTATTTTTTTTGTTACAGGTCACGGCCATCTTGTTTTTAAGTGGCAGAATTATTGTTTTTGTTACAAGTCGCGCTCATCTTGTTTTTAGGTAGCTGGAGGCATATTGTTTTTGTGACCGTGGACATTTAGTTTTTTAGGTGGTAGCAGACACATTGTTTTTGTTACAGGTCGCTGCCATTTTGATTTTCAGGTAGCAGACATTTTTTTCAGATCGTGATTCATGGCCATATGTTTTTGTTATCATTCATACTGTTTTGTTACAGGTCGCGGCCATTTGCTTTTAAGATGGAAGCAAACATATTTTTTTAGCAGGTCGTGGCCATTTTGTTTTTGGTAGCAGACATTTTGTTTTTGTTACAGGTGGCGGCCATCTTGCGAAACAGTCGTGAATTAGATCCTTCTCCCTCTGGGTATAATCCTTTTATTTACGGGAATGACGTGGATTCTGTGGATATTGCCACTAGAGTTGCAATGGTAAGACAAGACATAATAAAGATTATTCAATATGTTAAAATGTATTCTTGAAAAAAACATATGAATTAATTTTTATTTTGTGAAGTGCACAACTTGAGAGTTTATAAAAATAATACATCAGTTTTTTTAATAGTTTGACTTAAGCATTCAAATTCATTGAAATATTTTGCTCAATGATAAAAACTTTCTTCTACTGTAACATAATTTATCTTTAGGTTCGGTTCTTTAATTCTCCCAACGTATTGGCAAACTTTACAGAGCATACTCGCACGCTTCGTCTCTACCCCCGTCCAGTGGTTGCCTTGCAGGTACCTCATCACGTTCATTCAGATGTCTCTTGGTTTAAGAGTTAGTGCATTTTATTCATATACAGTTAAACCCTAAATAAGCAATACATCGAAAGAAAGAATTCATTAAATCTCGTATTCTTCACTATCTGATAATGGAATGTTGCAGATATTTAGTTTTTTAATTAAATTATTATATGGAGCTCTATAAACTGTTCCCGCATATTCATGGCTATTTATTTATTTTCGCAAATAATGAGATTTACGCAAAATAGTATAAAACCCATTGAAAAATTGTTAAGACGACATTTGATAAATTCTTTCGAAGTATGGCTCATTTAAGGTTTCACTGTATGCGACGAAGACCTAAACCTCTCACGACAAAATTTTAATATCAATTTAACAAAGTAAAAGTGGTCATTAATAGCTGTATTTTATGGCTAATTTAGACAGAGTCTCACCCCAGACTTCTACTTGTTTGTTTGTTTTTTCTTGATTTTAAATAGATAAAAAGTTGACAAACAATTCACAAAAAACTACTGTTTCAACTAAGACGAAATAAGATTCTAAAACCTAGTGTGTATTTACGATATGATAAAAACACAATATTAACTTGAATGACAACAGATAAAAAATTGTTTAATATGTTAATGAGACAAATAAATATTTCAGGTTAATTCTTTGATAAACTCTCGACCGAAGAATTCAACTTTTATAACTAAACTTTCATCAACCCAGGTAGGGTTGTATATATACTTGTTACCTTTACAGTGAAAACCAGAAAACTTTGGAATAGGAAGACGACTTTTAGACTCAAGTTATGATCTTAAATAATCCAAATAACATGAAATTTTGCAAGATGAAAAAATAATTTCAATTAATAAGTAAGTTGTAAAACTTTATAGAAACATTATTTTCAAAAAACATCAAATACGCTTAAATATTGCTTTTATGTCGTCTTCCTATTCCGCTGTTTTTGGTTCTCATTTTAGAATGCCATTTATTTCTAGAAACTTGTTATCCTGGCTAAAAATATCAATTTGCTAAGATGCATTTTATCATGTTATTGTTGACTGATGAAAAAAATTAGATTCATAAATATAAATATATAAGCAAAACTTGTTCAATTAATTGAAGATTACGTTCTTTTCTTTCTAGAGATTTAGCTGCAAATTTTATCTTAAAAAATTTAATCTGAATAATAATGGTAGGCTGTAGAATTTTATGCAGAGTGGGCCCTAATGCCATCAAATCTTGCTTTTCAACGTATTCATACTGGAGTTCTGGATCCAATAGTTATAGGGGACAAATTCAAGGTACTAATTATTATTATTATTATTATTATTGTTATTATTATTATTAATATTATTATTATTATTATTATTATTATTATTATTATTATTATTATTATTATTATTATTATTATTATTATTATTATTATTATTATTATTATTATTATTATTATTATTATTATTATTATTATTATTATTATTATTATTATTATTATTATTATTATTATTATTATTATTATTATTATTATTATTATTATTATTATTATTATTATTATTATTATTATTATTATTATTATTATTATTATTATTATTATTATTATTATTATTATTATTATTATTATTATTATTATTATTATTATTATTATTATTATTATTATTATTATTATTATTATTATTATTATTATTATTATTATTATTATTATTATTATTACTGTTACTAGTGGTATGCGCACAACCTGGACCCAGTAAGCTATATTGTGTGGGATAACCTCAGTTCGTTAAACCAAGCGTTGAAGTCACTGAAGGAGGTTGATACACCTGCTACAGATGAAAGTGGAAGTGACAGTGAGTGTGGCAGCACCAGCTCTAGTTTCTCCTCCTGCAGTGACGGAATAGTGCATCCCAACTCGAGTCTAGGTTTACACACGGATAGATCCATCCAGGAGCAGAGTTATCCAGGATACCTGGAGAAATCTGAGAGAACGTCATCCCTAGTCAATCAATCAATGAATCATCAGTCCGGACCTATACTGCCAGTAGAGGAGACTTATACAGTTCGTCGTCAGCCTCCCCAGCTGCATGGAGAACATCCGTCCTCGGAGTTTCAGAATAGAGGATGGGAGAGGTCGGAGAGATCTTTCGGTTCACAGAATGGAATCCCGTTTGGAAGCATGAAAGGTATTTTATCATTATTCCGTTAAAGAATAGAAATGTTATTCTGTAATAAAGACATATCATATTAAACAAGTGTCTGTTTTTGTGTTTTCCATGTGTTTTCTTCTATATTTTAGTTTTTTTAGATTTTGATAAATTTTAAAATTGTTCTTCTCAACTTTTAATATTGTCAAATATGAACCGATCTTCTTTTATCCCGCTGATCTGGGAAGAAAAATATATAAATCTACATAATTTCCTTAGAATATTGAAAAATTTTGATCAGAGATGAATATTTATGAATGGATAAGAAGTTCTAAAAGTGTTCCGATCCGTGACCAAGCCTCATTTTCATAAATTTCCGACTCTCCATGTTTTTTTTGATTTAATGTTCTTTTTCTTAAAGTTTTCTTTTGTAGATCCAGCAAATAATTAGATAAGAAAGTTCTCTTTATGATAAGTTCTCTTAACTTTACTAGCATAACATTCTTACTCCCCCCCCCCTTCAGGGGAGAGGGAAAGAGATCAGCCCAGGGAAGAAAATTAGAAAAAGGGAGAAAAAAAGAAGAAAAAATTTCCCCTACGGGAAAGGAAAATTCGGGACAGTAATGACAGGGGGCGGAAAAACAATTCAACTTCTATTAAGAATATACTTTCCTGTAACATACTATCAGTTTCAAGATCAAATGCATGGAAATAAAAAACTTCAGTAAACTTAAGTACTCCCTTTTAAAGATACAGGGGTACAAAAAAAGGCTTTAAATGGACTGCAGACGTAATTTTAGGCGACCCAATTCTCCATTTGAAAAAATAAAATGTACAATTCACAATCCTATCTAAGTAGCAATGAGGAAAACTTCACTGTTTTCCTGAAAGGAGTTAAATATGTTTAATTTCTCTGCTTTTATTTAACTTTAAAGATAAGTTAACTATAATTTAAAAAAATTAATTTATATTTGAAAAAAAGATATCTCCTTCATCCTCGATCAGAGTCTAAAACTAAAGAACGAAAAGTTTTGACTTAAATTTTAAGTTTATGGTTAAATGCCACTTCTAACTTAATTTAAACCCGAACTTTAACCGTGAGGTTAAATATTTAAACCTGTGGTTAAATATTTAACTCGCCGAAATCGACGAGTTAAACTTTAAACACAGGTTTAAAATCTTGAAATCCCGCAATCCCTATTTGTCCTATCATCATTCAGCTAATTACGGTCGATATATTTAAAAGTAAAAACCTTGATTTAATAAATTTCGCGTTTTAGATAAATTAATGTTTGGACGTAAACCCAAAATATGGTTGTAACTGGAAATATGTTTCCGTCACGTAAATAATTTATAATTTAAAAAACAGCTGATTACCGATAGTTACATAATTAATTTCCGTAAATCCTTTTCTCTGATTGGTTCAGATTTTTCCCGGGAAATTCAAACTTAAGAATATTAAACTTGAGAAAGTTTAATATTTAAGTAGCTACTCATTATTTTACAGAACTTTAACCTCGAAGTTAAATTTCGCGCATTCTTTAGTTTTAGACTCAGGTAAAAGTTTAAAGTCCACTGTTGTGAAGTTGTGAATCAGACAATACAACTCAATAAAAAAGGGTCACTTGAAATTACATCTAAAGCCCCATTTAAGTTTTTTCTTTTTGTATCCCTTTTCGTGCCATAGAAAATGATTTCTAGGCGACTAATAAGTTCGATTAGGCATACACTGTATCTAAAGTTTAAATTTATGTACACACTGCGTAACCCAATATTACTGCAAACTAGACAGGATTAAAGGGACTGTAAAGAAAAAATGAAAGGGGGTATAGGATAAAACCGGAGAATAAAACATCTATCTGATGTTCCTGTCTCGAGAAATTGATATAAAACAGTGTCAAAATTATACGAAACTTTATATATATGAATTATTACGTCACAAGAACTCCCGCCAATGTAAGTGCAGTATACTGGTCACGTGATAAAGACGGAAATCACGTGACCAGTATACTGCACTTCCATTGGCTATTAAAAATGCAAAATTAAAATTAAATAATTATAACAGGAGCAAACCTGAGGTTCTCCGGTTTCTGTGGGATATCGTCGTTTTCAGATTGGTTTCGTATTTGTGAAATAAGATCTGTTTTAAACTACAACTTTTTTACAAAATTGCATATATATTTCGCATAAATTTGACACAGTTTTGTATCAATTTCTCGAGACAGAAACATCATATAGATGTCTTATATGTATCGTTCAACGTCTGAGATACTTAGGTTTCATCCAATACCCCCTTTCATTTTTACTTTACATGTCCCTTTAAGGAAATTGATGGGACATCACTGGTACGAAATTGTTACCTCGTAACTCTTCTATTTTTGATTTTACGCATTGTTCGAAAAGAGGAATTATCACAGAACATTTTTAATAAATATCGTTACTTGCAATTTACTTCAATTTGACGTGTATATGTATCCAACAAGTATTTACGAAAAGTTAAATAAATCGTGTGTTTATTTCAATTTCAAATGAAAATAGTTCTTAAATATTGAAGAAATATGATCGCTGGTCCGACCACTTTAACAATTTGAAAAAGTCTTTTTTAAATTATTTTATTTGCAGTTTCCCACCCTCGATGTCCAGCTAGGTCAATATCCCCTCGTGGAAGATTACGACCAAACGTTCTTGAACCGCAGGGTTGCAAAACCCTGCAGGCAACACGATCTTGTCCAATAGAGACGGAGCTAAATCCAACCAGAGGATCTCCTTTCTTCGGTCAACCCCTAGGTCCAACCCGATCCTACCCAGCCCGCTCTACTCGGAACTATCCTGGAGAAGGAATCGAACCTAACCTTTTACACCCTTCAGATTTATCCTTCTCCACCCCCCACCCTGAACCCATCCGTTCACACCCTTCAGATGCATCCTTCTCCACCCCCCACTCTGCCCCCTGCCACCAACCAAACCAAACATTTCCCTTGAAATATCCAGGTAGTGAGTTGACCAGCACAGATAGACGACAGCAGAGTCCACATCAGTTAAACTCCAGGTATTTAAACCAAAAAGAATTTTGTCTTTGCCACTAACTCGGATTTTCTAATCCCTATATCTTTGCAACCTTATTTTTAATCCTTTGATATTTCAAACTTAAATCAATTTATAAAACAGAAGTCATAGTTTAAAATATCTCAGGTCTATGACATCAGGGTGCAAAGATGCATGGATAGGGAAATCAGAATTTGTGGCAAAGTATAGTTTTTAAACAAAAAACAAACATCTCTCTCTCAACATTCTTAAACTCGCCAGTTTAATGTAACTTTAAACATTAATCAAAATTACCATAATTTTAAACCTTGCGTACCCTTTCAACCTACACTGCAGGTTTGACGTAACAAATTTAGTTAAGAACCATTCAAATCTTCGACCTATAAATCCAGAGAAAGATATAATTGGTTCCGCGGTGTGAGATTTGTTTAGTGTACCCAGTATGTGGTTGAACCAGCCCGTCTAGTGTACCCAGTATGTTGTTGAACCAGCACGTTTTATGCAACATAATAAGGCGGACAGAACTACTCGCTGGGTAATTACCAGCCCGTCTAGTGTACCCAGTATGTTGTTGAACCAGCACGTTTTATGCAACATAATAAGGTGGACAGAACTACTCGCTGGGTAATTACCAGCCCGTCTAGTGTACCCAGTATGTGGTTGAACCAGCACATTTTATGCAACATAATAAGGCGGACAGAACTACTCGCTGGGTACTCTAATAACATTTTGTAGTTATTTTTTTTCAAACAAATCTCTTTCTTCAGATGAATTTTCCTAACAGTATAATTGGTCTAAATAGAGAGGACGTAACCCTACAATCTTATCGGAATGTAAAATTAATTACATAAAGGGACTGTAAGCATAATTTAAAGTGACCCTTCATGCAAAATTGGCAATGCCCATTCACAAAGGTACCCTTAAAGGATTTGTCTGATCAGGGATCAAGTATATATTAGATATCAATGTTTATTGTTTAAAATTTTGAAAAAGGATTATTTTTAATTCTGAATTCTCTTCAAAAGTGGCTTGCGCATTTCTACGGAAGGAAACATGTGGGAATTATCAAAATAAAACATTTTAACCTAAAAAAGCGGCAATATCTTCCAGTTTATTAATCAGATAACGTTTTCAAGGATATCGGTGAATCAGGAATTTCCCTTTTTTAATGGAGTATCACTTTAAATTAGACTACAGTTCTTTTTAAGTTAAAAAAGAACTTCTAATTCTTCATTATACTATCTACTAATTTCTTCAGTGTTCCATTCGATGGAGTCCGTAGGTTGGAGGGAGGAGTACTTCGTAGAAATACTGGAGTAGATCAGAGCAGATATACTGGAGTAGATCAGAGCAGATATACTGGAGTAGATCAGAGTAGTGTATACAACCCTCCAAAAGATCTTCAAGTAAGTACTCTTGAGTATGCCATACAGTGGTTTCTAAAATACAGTGGACGAGGAAGAAAACTTTCTTATGCCATGTTGTTTTTTTATATGATTGAACATAGTTAAACTCATTAAAGGAACTGATTACTTACCAAAAACTTTTCTTAATACTAATACAAAGATATTGCAAAGATATAGGGGTTAGGGGGTTAAATTTGTAACGAGTAATCAGTTCTTTTCAATTCAAGTCATTCTTTTTCTTTTTGTCTTTATTATTCTACATTTTTTTCTTGATTTTTCAAACAAAAATATCAAATATTTATCGTTTTTTCCGTTTTTTTTCAGATTTGTAAATCTATACAACCTTATTGTTTATATTGATATTTATGTATTTTTTTTCCAAATATTACTAAAGTATGTGCCCCGCAGGCCAGTGTAATGGAAGAGCACAAAAAACCCAAGCATATTCGCTTTCGGTTAGATAGGGAGCAAGTAAGTGGTCCAAGAGTGAACCATGCAGTTTTTTTAGATTCTCACAAACTGATATTGCCTTGTTTTACACCCTGCTATCAATATGTTAAATATTTTTAAACACCAGTTTTGATTTGATATTTCGATTAATTTGATCGAAATTATGAAGCAAGTTGTTAGTTTAATTTGTATTATATTATGATATTGTTTTACACGACTACCAACTTGTTATTTATTTCTAACTCTTTGATAGATATTTATATCTCTAATAGATATATCTTTTCCTTTGAAAGAAATTTCTATCCCTTCGATAGAAATGTCTATACCTTTGATAGCAATTTCTATCCCTTTGATAGAAATGTCTATACCTTTGATAGAAATGTCTATCACTTTGATAGAAATGTCTATTCCTTTGATAGAAATCTCTATACGTTTGAGTTCTATAGCTTTATATAAAAAAGCTAAGTTCATCCACAGGTTAAGAATTGAGTACGCAGTGGGACCCATTAATCATAGCAGAAGGACGATTGTAAGAATCACTGTGATTTTAAATAGTCCCATGCACATAAAATACAGCAATTGTATTTATATATATATAAACGTTTAATAATGTATAATTACTGAGGAGTTTGAGCCCAAAGTCGACCTACAAAATCATCCATTTGGATGATATCATTTTGAGAATACAGTTTTGTTAAATTATTAAATAACGACGACAAAATTGTAACAAAAATTCTACAGTACAGGTAGAGAAACTAGAAATTACATCTTTTCATCGAAAATAAGTAATCTTATTCAGTTATTAGCTTCTGTTATGTCTTATTGTTCACAAATATTTTCAGTAGATTTTCGGGAATTTTTATTGAAATAACGACATTTGAAAAATTTGCAGAAATCTGCGAACAAATTCGTAAAGAATAAGAAATTCAATAAAATGATGAAAAAGAAATAATTGATTCTAACATTGATTTTATGACAAATTTCTATTGAGAAATATGTTCCTAAACGTCTAATTAGTTTACTGTAGAATCTTTGATACATTTTTCATAGTCGTTATTTAATTATTTTAAAAAATCGATTCTCAAAAGGCAACCACCCAAATGGATTATTTGAACGTCGACTTTGCGCTCAAACTCTGTAATTATTCATCATTAAAACGTTTTTATGTCTCAAGTGAATCCTTTAAAATTTCTCCACAATACTACATTCTCAGTTCAATTATTCTACATTACCGGTCACTCGATCCCTTTAAACGTATAGTTAAGCCACTTTTTACTGGGTCCCACTGTAGAATAAGGATGTTTTGAAACAACTTCACTTCTAGTAATTACCCTATGGTCTGAGAAAAAAGGACAAATTTTCTTTGGCAGAATGCATGCAGCATGCCCTCATGTTTACCCATTAATATACTTTGTATTTATAGTCAATTTTAGAATATTGGAAAACTTAAACAGTAAACCTGCAGGGATATCAACGAAGGATGAAACCTTAATGACGACCTTAAACATGATAAATTTAACGGGTTGAAAATGGATTTGGGGGTTTTCCATAAGTCTTATATTTTGATTGCTTTTTGAAAGGTTCTGCAATTTGCAAAGAAAGAAACGAGTTAACAGCTAAAAAGGGAACTATGGAATTTAAGTAAAAATACTGAATGTGCCGCTGTCAATGAAGTCTCATCCTTTATGGATAACCCTGTATACTTATCACTTACACCTTAAAGCAGTACGACACTTAATATTGTAACACCAAGTAAACATAAAAGTGCACTGTAGTTTTCGAGTCTTGACTGTCATGAGAATTGTTATCATTGGCAATATTTCGACCTAATAATTTGACGTACAATCATTGGCAATATTTCTTCCTAATAATTTGACGTACAATCATTGGCAAAATTTCTTTCAAATAATTTGACG